ACTACAAAATGTGTTAAGCCAACAGCATTGAACGCATAAACTTCTGCTCCGCAGAATCTTTCCTATAGGGCACCAGAACACGCAGTGCTAGCCCTGCCTAAACAGCATCATTAAATTCACTAAATTACCAACATGGTCAATATTCTAAGAGGTTTCTTCTATTCGAAGAAAATTCAGGAATTGCTGCACCAAAACACTGTTATGCATAATTTAAGACTGCAACATCTGATTGGCCCCAAACTAAAGGTAGAAAGACTAGGGGAATCTAATACATTAAAGTTTTCTTATTTTCAAAGGATGCATTTCAAACCAACATGTTTTTATTTGCCATTTTTAATAATGATTGCAGATATGATAGTCACAGACCCATTTGCTGTGGTGTGACTTGCTGAAAAACCATCACCACCATGCCTACTCAAATTTCTGTAGGAAAGACTGAATCATCCATTTTATGAAGTGTTTGTACAAGTGCAACATCCGCAGCTGTTTTTCCTTCACAAAGGATTAAAAAATACAAATATTTATATATTTGTGATTTTAAATGTGTTTTTATTGGTAAATTTTTCTTGGTAAATTCAAATAAAAGATGCTAATCCATGTAATTTAAATATAGTAACTCGATACAACATATGTGCTTTTTTTTCCATAGATACTGATGGTTCAGAGATATTGATTTTAAACAAAAAATCTAATGAAGGAGAAAGATATTTAGAGACCGTGAAGCCTGTGATCTCCACAGACCCATATATCACTTTCCATTATTATTATTAGTAGATTCCAAGACCATTCATGCACATCTAACATAAATCTACAGGAGCAAAATATCAATATATAAAATTGATACACGATACATTATCTAATGGCAAACTCTTTTTAAGTGGTGACTTTCGTTGGGCATTGGATTTGCATTTTTCACAGCAGTATCACCTAATGCTCTGCACTCCAGCCCTCACCTACTCCCAAATAACTCAAAAAAATGAATAAACGTATATTAATGCATCCCATTAGAAGAAGCTTTCTGAAACTCTTTAAAACCATCAAATCCATAAGAGACTACTGAGTATAAGAATGAGAAGAATTGGTGAATAAACAAATTTATTTATTTCATTTAATAAAACATATAGTACAACTACTACAGTATATAATAACAGTATATAACAATCCATCCTTGGATTAATGCTAGAGGAATACAGTGGGAATAACATTCAGTAGTACCAAAAAAAATCCATTTACCTACATGCCATTCACTGAAAAAAATAGAAATTACACATTTTATTGATGGATCCACACCCCAGTTTGCTACCTGAGTAACAAAACTTCAGGAAGATGCTACCACTCCTGATGTTCCTTCCACCTCTTTCCAGTTTTTATGGAGTCATTTATACCTGAACATCAGCAGACAGTAATTTTGACAATAAAACCCATTCAGAAAGGAAAACATCCATCCATTTCTACACCCGCTTGTCCTACACAGGGTCGTAGGGGTCCAGAACCTATCCTAAGATATATGGCTTAAGGCGAGGAACAAACCAACACAAGGCGCCAAGCCATCATGTATAAACAATATATTTCAATATCTTTTACTCCAGCTACACTAGTCATTTGTTCTAATCTTAGTCCAGATTTATTTTCCAGTTTAACCTATAGTTTAACACAGACAACAAAAATAAATCAGGTGCTTTCTGACCAGAATTGCATAACAGGATTAATATATACATTAATAATGATTAATCAGTGCACAAGTACACCATTTTAATTTTCATTTTGAGATTTTGAACGGTAATGGTGATCATTTATCAAACTTCTGAAGCCCGTTAAATATAATTTTATATTTTTGATTTACATTTTACATCCAAAAACACACCATTAGCTATTTTCCCCAATATTTAAAATAAGACATCTTACTCACCAGAACAGTGAGATCCTGCTCACGAGTTTAAATCAGATCTAATCTCTAAAATACTGAACTTAAAGTAATGACTTTTACTGAAATACTTGAAAATTGCAGAATACTTTTCATTTGAATTAGCAGAAATGCAAGTAGTTATTGCTAATAAAGAAAATGACTGCAGTTACCATCTGCTTGTAAAACCCCTTGTTACTGACTTCCAGCTGCCTCCAGTTAATGACGAATTCAACAAAAACAGAAATTCAGTAGAATCTAAACATAATTTAAACATTTTCTTTAAACTTCTATATTAGATATGTGCAAGTTAAACATGATTACCTTCAGACAGCATGTATAACCTGTATTAGGTGGTTTGTGCTCTTCACAATACAGTATTTAATCATCACACTATATTTGCTCAAGCCCCAAGTATTCAAACCAAGACAACTGCTACACCCTGTCAGGAGCATCTCTTCATCAGCGAGAGCACTACAACTTCTACAAGTTAAAAATCCCACGTCTTATCCAAAGTAGACCATAAAATTCTTTAAAAGGGGTGTTTGAGTAGTGCTGTTACCTTCCAAATGCATGGGCGGTCAAGTGTGGCTTCTGAAACCTGACACCAAATGTCATATGAATTTGACACTTCGAAACTATGGATCTTCACCTACCTGTCAGATATGCAGGTAGTAGAACACATAAACATAAAAGATACAGTAAAACTATGAATAACGTTTCCCCCTTTTAAACGCAGCCTAACAAAAGATGTCAAGCCAATAAAATTTAGTAAGGAGTTTTTATTCCGTTCCATAAATTTAACACTGCTTGCACTTCATATCATATAACGACTATACTATTTTAAGAAACACATTTATGTTTGCTGAGATAAGGACAGACAGGTCTGACATATATAAAATGGTGCCTAAAAAGAGATACCCATCACCTGAGTAAAATGTGCACATATATTCCTATTGCCAGTGTGGTAGTGACAAAAATGTTGAGCCAGCAAGTTTGGAAACTCTGGCATGTGACACTAGAATCATGTTAAGTGTGAAATTATTGGCATATTTGAGTGATACTTTTAAATTAAAACACATTCTAATGGTATCATTTACAGTTACTATTAAAACAAAATACAATAAAATAAAAATTTAAAAACTTCGGTGATAAAATTATTCAAATTAATAATTTAATTCAACCAATATAGGCGCAAATTATATATTATTTTTACAGGTAAAATTTAAAAGAATATTTAAATCCATATGTGTTAAACATACAGGCAATTGAATGAAGGCAAAGACAATGGTTTTACACCAATCACATGCAAATTATTTTGGAAATGTCTGGAAAAACTTAATGAACTATTTGATCATTTTAAAAAGTTTTAACAACTGATTAAATTATAATAGACAATCATTTATTCGTAGTTAAGTCTTAAATTTGTTGCAGTAAAGCTCATGTTTATGTTAAATTTACAGTTTAATACCCAAATAAGTACATTACTCTTTTCTATGGACTAGGCAGGAGATTCGGGGCTGCTTACGTTTTTTGCTTCAGTAAAACAGCCATACATCCATTTCAATCAGTAGGTAAAACTGCAGTAACAGGAAACAACTGCGCTAAATAGTCAAAGGAAGCAAAAAGGAAGCAATATCAAACAAGTAACAGAAGTCTGTATTATTTTACTAGGTGATATATATATATACATAAAAATTGCCAAAATAATTTGAATGTCTTTACATACTGTACATGGATCATATGTTAAAGGTGTGTTCACAAACAGACCCGACTACACCACTATGCTCACAGTTAACGATTTCAGCATTTCCATTGACACTTTCAATAACGGTTTCCGTCAATCCACCAAACCCACAGTAACCTGCGCTAAACTAGCGCGATGACCTAATGACAATAAGGATATGTATGTTCAGCTGGTAGCCGACGGCACGCCTCCATCAAATCGCAAAACAGGACTGATTTACCTATGAAAACACACCGCTTCGACGCACCGCGCCACTTCTCTTATTGTTATTATTATGATTCTTTAATGCAGTCATTCGTAAGTCATTTGCGACGTAGCGCGCGCCTATTGTCGCGTAACTTACTGTAGAATGGCGCGTCACAATGAAACAAAGAATCAGTCGAAGTTCTGTTTACTCCGAGTAGCTACTGCTGCCTCGCGTTTTACAAAAACATGATTATCCCGTGACTAAGGTCTGTGCCAACTTCATGATACCAGAAAACACATTCACACAATGATCATACGTGCTCACGCAAACTAGCAAAAAAAAAAAAAACATCCCCGATGTCACGTCGTTAATTATGCCTGTTTACACCTGACCTACAGTAAAGTTACCAAACATCGATGTTACGAAGTGCTTCAGAGGTGTACCTCGTTTGTGCTTAGTCCCCCTTTCCAGTAATTTAATGGACAATGTAACATGCAAAAAAAATAGTTTTATATAAAAGTCATATTAAGACACAAAGCTGCAAATCATATTTTACAATCATGCTTGTTCTCGTTCTAAAATATTCTGTGAGATACATACAGTATGTGCTGCACTCCTTGGTGGCTGTCAGATACATGAGATCGTGTAAATTGCTTGATATGACGGGAAATAAAGAAAACTTCAACTTAAAGCTGCAGGTAAAAGTTATTGTAGGGAACACGGACGCAATAGCGTTCAACATTAATATAAATTCCCTATAAATGAGTTTACACAATATCACTGTTACCATAAACACGGCTGCAAAGGTGTAGTGAATGCCTGGAATTATAGTTGGATGCTTTGAAACACCAAGCAAACAATAATTAATGCGATTCCAAATTATTAAATGACGGTGAACAAAATCTGCCATAACCTCAATCCCCGTCTAGTTAAGTTTCGTCTGGATTCTACCTTACGACTGAAAACATGCAATACTTAGCTGCATAACTATAAGTTATCGGCGGAAACTGACGATAACTTTTCAAAGCAAACCCTGCGCCGCTGCCGTACACAGTGACAGCACCTAGCCTCTACACCGCAACAATGACTCTGGCAGCCTCTCACTCCATGCACATTCTCCATGAGGGCAATTTCTCCTGCATTATAAATAAAAAAAAACTTACTTTTCCCTGGCTTGGCTGTCGGACGGTACGTGGTTACTCTTGCCTTTGGCGTACATGCTTGCAGAGAGCTCCGATTGTCACACACCTGTCAACTCATCACAGCCTCCTCGGCCACAACCCCGTCACCATGGCGACACACGGAGCGTCGCTTTCCATTGGGTGTTCCGCTGTTAGAGGACGCCCATTGGCCGTGATGACCGCCATGACTGACTGATACTTGGCCCCGCCCTTCCAAACAACTTCCCCTCCGCGAAGCGGCCGCGTCGCGGTCTTTCTCCGCTGTACTGCCGCGCTCTCCTTCCACCCGCCTTGGCCGGGCTGCTTTCTCTCCCAAGCTCAGACACACAAGCGCGGACAGTCACACGCATACTCTCTCCCACCCTCCTTCCTTGTCCTCCTCCCTCATAACAAGGGGGAATTTGAAACCGTCTGAGGATTTTTTTTAAAACAACTGGCTGTTCCTTTAACAGACAATCACACCCTCTAACGACACATTGTCAACGCGGCGCACTTAAAAACTATGAAATTCCTGACGATTGATATGGGTATTTAAACGAAGTCGAACCTGACAAATAAGTACTCTAATGTCTTGTGTATTGCTTAAGTTAAATGTAATATCTAAATGTTATGAACGGCCATCCTAACACCATGGATTTTATGAAAACGGCACGATTTTCGCAAACTATCCACAAGCCACCATTTTACTATCTTGCCTGTGATATGAAAAAGCCGCAGAACTTAATTGCGCTGTTCTATTTCAATTTGGGCCGTGTTTAAGCTTGACATCTAAACGTTTTTTACTTGTATTATTTAATATACATGTAACAAATATTGTGGGTTTCTTGTTAATGGATTCTTCTAATTAACGCAGCTGTTACACTTATGATGTTTGATGGGTATTATATTTCTTACTCATTTATCCACTAAGTACCATAGTCGATTGTTTCTAATAGATGGCAAAAGCCATTTTTATCCCATTACCAGTACTAGTATATAAAAAAGCTACACAGCTGAAACTATTTCCACATCTGTACCTCTGTTTAATTTACAACAAGACCTCTAAATCAACTATATTCTATCAGGTTTGTCATTGATATTTTATTACAGAGTTGCATGCTTCCCCCTTCTTCCTAGGAAATTTCTTGGAGAGTGCCTGATTAGCACAATCTTTCTATAGAGTTCAGGTCCAGGTTTCTACTGACCCACTCAAGGACATTCAGCTTCCTGTTGAAGCTACTCTAGTGTTTCTTTGACTATGCTTGAGTTGTTGGCTTATTGCAATGTGAAAACCTTTCCAAGGCATGAACCTACTACCACCATGCTTTATGGTAGGGGTAGAATGTGGAGCTTCTTTGTTAATTTTGCACTTTGGCTTAGCCCTTTTTATTCAGATGAAAGAGATTGAACTTGGTTTCATTAGACAATTTAATCTTTAACCATATGATCACAGAGTCTGCTATATGTTTTCTTACCACTTCAAAGCTTTCTTTCATGTGTTTTTCCCCCTTGGGACTTGGTACTATCTAGCTGCTCTCTTATAAAGGGTGCATCTGTGTCCAGAACAGGGTCTCCCCTCTCACTTGGGATGATCACCGGATCCTTATTCACATCTTTAATTTCTTTCTTGCCCTACTTCTTTATATACGTGGACAATCTGCTCGGTCTTCATTGTTGAGTTTCTTCTCTCATATTCTGACATGCAGGTATACTATGCCGGTTATTATGACAAGCAATTTAGCTGCCTATAATTCAGCTCAATTTGAAGTGTTACAACAAAGGGGTTAAATATTAATTATACCAAGAAATGTAGGTTTTCTATAGATTCTTGTTACACAATAATCCATGCATTTACTGTGAGCCAGGAACCACACAGCACAAGGCAGACGACTTAGTCACACATGACAGGCAATTTAAAGATATCAATTCACCTGTCCGTGTTTTTGAACAGAGGGAGGAAATCCACACAAAAGGAGGAAAGACAATCTCTGCAAATGGAGCCAGGGAACTGAACCCAAAACCTTGAACGTGTGACCAGAGTGCTAAAAAGTGAACCACGCTGGTTGAACAATAAAAAATTAATTAATTAATTGCCATGTGCACTGCAAGTATAGAGCTCAAATGTGACTTACATCTTTCCTGAAATGGAATTTCTATTTCATACTTCTATAATAATCAAAATATTTTGAAAGCAATATTTATTTATCCTCTGACGACTACTTTTCCTGGGTCATCAAACAGATGAGACTGTTGACACCTTTGGTGTTCATAAAGACGGCAAACTAGAAATCATCAGGAACATTGTTAAGAATACAATATGTGTGTTTACAGTAGGTATTGGGAAGTTATGGTTTGGCATGATAACACTTCAAGGCAGTGATTAGACCTCATTTACACTACAGACAACTTAAAGATGCCATTTAATGTAATTGTAGGAATCTAGACTGGGGAGGGAACCCAGAGTATCTGAATAAAACATGCGATTCAGAGGGAACATGTAAACTTCACACACACAAGGTGAGGGTAGGATCCAAACTCAGTGATACACTGTGCCGCTAATATGTTTTTGTACTAAATAATTTCAAGTGGCAAGAGATTGTGATAACAGGAAACAAAAATTTATCCTCAAAATTTAAAATTCATTGTACTTTAATTGTGTAGTAAATGAATATTACAGTATTATTGAAAGATTAAGATAACATTAAAATCCTGTTTATGAAACACTCACTTTTACTTTTTTACTTTTTCAAAAGGAACTACTCTATAATTGTCTAAATGAGGCATATATTTAAAAAACAATACGTTCTACTTATGATGAATGTATAACACTGTCAGTTTTAGACTAAGTACTTTAGGGCTTACAGTATGACCTTGATAATTATCTGCATAACAGGCAAATGCTTAGTATGGTTGAGTTTGGCCTTACAAACATCTGTAGTGAAAGTAGCAAAACATGATTCATGATATACTGGTAAATTATTTTAATAGGATCATTTTGCTGACTAAAAATGTGTAGTATTTATGGAAATTTAAATGTCTTCCAAGCACAGTCCTAACAAATATTGACCCCTATGGCCACTGAAATAAGCTTAGATGAACCTCTATCTTCACAAGATGCTTTAAAAAAAACTCAAAGTTTTTGAAAGGCATGGATCTAGGAAGGGGTGTAAAAAGATTGTCATTGATTGTACCTTGGAAAAAGAAGTAGGAAGCAGGTGATACCAAATCTGGTTGTAGTAATCTTTTGCACACACCTAGCTGCAGGAAAGTAGGGTAAATGGGAGACATGGCAAGTATTCGTTGCTCCAGTGAGAAATAAATTGCCAGAGCTATATACAAAACATTCTGTCTAGCATAATTCCCACAGCACTTTGCTAATGTAACTTCATCCATATTTTGAAGCATAATGGCAATAGTAATGACAACCTGAAATCTAAATAAGAGTGCGTGCTTTTAGAACACTCTCTCCACACACACACACACGCGCGCACACATACAGGTTTGTAATTATATCTTTGTGGGGACTCTCCATTCATTTGTATGGGGAAAACTCTAATCCCAACATTACAACCTTAACCCCTACCCAGCCCTAACCATAAGTAATCAAACAAAATATGAGACTTTTGATCATTCACAGATCTTTGTGGGTACCTGAATTTCAAACCTGTGTATGTGTGTGTGTGTTTGAATGTGTATAACCTCTGATTTGTGTGTATATGGAATTTTTCTGGATTTGTTTCAGCCTTTCAGGCTTCCTCCCACAGTCCTAAGGCATGCAATTAGAGTAAATGACACTTCTCAGCTATTTGTTGTGTGTGCCATGTGCTTGACTGGCATGTAGTCCTGGTTCTATCCTAGCCTTGTGCCCGATGTTGCCTTGCATGGGTTCCAGGGGCCCTGTGACCCTGTCCAGAATAAGCAGTTGGAAGATGAGGAAATTCCTCATGAAGCAAACCTGAAATGTACATACAAAAACAGGGTATTGTAGTGGAAGGGGGTGTGTAGAAATATTTTTCACAGCAAAACACAATTAACAACATATTGAAAGTGTTACTCTGTGACAAACACAGAGCATTGAGCTATCAGTAGAGAACTAATAACCATTCCACAGACCTATTGTTGGGAGAGAAGTGGTCATTTGTGAGTAAGAAAATGTGGACTGAATACATTCTAACAACATGGCTTTTTTTGTAAAAAATCTAAAGGATACACAGGGGATTCATAGTAAAAGCCACTGTTTCTGAAAATACAAAATAATCAAGAAATAAATCTGAATTTCTTATTTATAATAATAAAATCTCATTTATAATCTTAGCACTACTTTTATTGAATGACTTTATTGAATGTACATAGCATTACATTTTGTTCTGGCAAATCATTCACTTAAGATACAAAAATTATTATGTATCTTTATATTTTGGGGAAGGGAAATTAGACAAGTTATTACAGCTTTTATGTCTGTCTTTTGAATAGACATCTGTAATTTTTGTAGCTGAATAATTAAACTGAAAAGTCACTGGATATGCATATGACAGTAAGTATCATTGCATTGTGGATGTGCCTGGATTTACTGTTTGTGTGCTCCAATGTTTTTGTGTATGGTGTTATTTTGTATGTGCTAATGTTTAAGAGTGGATGTGGCATAATTTAATTTCACCACGGTCAGATAGCAAGTGAGATTAACAACATATCATCACTGACAGTCAGAGACAAGGTGACTTTTCCTAGGTCAAGTTCATTAAAATTATACTCCATCTTCTCCAATAATGTGACCCTTCTCCAAAGAAGCTGTTCAGATATGAACCTTATTAAAAAATATATTTTCTGTCAAGTCAACCAATGTTTAACCTGTTCAGTCTATGACCTGAACATACGCTGTAAGAAAAAAACATACAAATTTGTACCTTTGAGGGTACAATTACTTGTCACTGGGACCGTACCCTCAAGGGTCTGCCGTATGTACCCTAGCTGTAGCTAAATGTACCTTTAAAGATACAGAAATGGATGCTGAGGAACATTTTTGTACCATTGGGGGTAGAATATTACTGTTTATTCCTTGGGGAACAAAACTGTACCAGAACTGTACCCTTTGTTCTGACAGTGTAATATAATATAATATAATATAACATAATAAACTGCATTCTCCATGGTGTTCATGGTGTGCTCCAGGCTTGTGTCTTATGCTGCTTGGGATAGACTCCTGCCCTCTGGGGCCACTGTAACAAGCAACTGAAGGATGGATGGATGGATGGATGGATCGATGGATGGATGGATGGATGGATGGATGGATGGATGGATGGATGGATGGATGGGTGGGTAATAACAGTGTATAGACAATATTATTGTCTATACA